TTTCCGTGTTCACGGGTAATCGTCTCTTTATCCTAGGGGACCGATTAATACAGCCTACACTTCTAGGACTAAGCGTTCTCGATGGTGTCTATTCATAAACATCATAACAACTATAAACTCGGTCATTGAATTTTACTGCTGTCGTAATGGCACTGAACAGAGTATTGAGAATAATCGGAATTCGAGAACATAGATGGAGAAACATAAATTCTCTTAGACTATTTTAGCTTAATGCAATTTAGTTTGTCGAAATATTATAATTTAATTCATAATCCTCTAATCTCGAACTAACATATTTCGTCCGAATTTGTAAAAACTTATACGAACCTGGAAGGAGCTTGCATTGAAGATATTCATGTTCTGTTGTCAGAAACTCAGATAAAATTTTGCATTTCCCACCAACTAAAAACTTTCTACGCTTGATTACTGCCAATAAAAAGGGTCCAAAACTCATTCAAAAGGAAAATATGAGTTTGAGACACGCTTTATTGCGATAACTTTGTTTTCTAAACGTGGAAAAGAAGACAAAACATCTTCTATGTGCATTTACTTTGTTGAAATTCAACGAAATTTTTACTTATCTAAGTCACAATCATAAAAACAGTGGTTGTGATACCTTGACCAAAACTCAAAGAATCTGAAACTAAACCATTGACTGTTTTCAAAAATATAGCTTGAAAACACGTTTCAGATATTGCACCTGAAAGTGTCCATGCAAAACAATTGAAAATAGAAAGAAAAAGTATATTAATTTCGACACAGGTCAACAAATACTTAAATAAGTGTCAGTGGGCTAAATAAACATCTGACACAACAGTTTTGATAATTGTTTTAATTCGCTACAATATTTGCGCAACTGTTTTGATGGAGTATATGATTATTCTCAAAAATCTTGTGTAGTCCACTCAACTTATTAAATATTTTCTTTTAATAGTTTGAAAATCGTGGAAATTGCACAGAAAAGTTGCACTTTTATATATCCATTTACAGAGTAGCGAAAGAAACTACTGCCTCGAGACTCCTCTAGAAACGCTCGATTTTTAAAGAGGGATCTACATGCTCATATCAGAAATGTGTTCTTTCTGAAATATTGTCTCTTCATAGTTTGAAATGGTTTCTATTGATAATAACGCTAAATTGATTGCTGGTTCACTTCCTCAGAAGAGTGTGTTCGCCAATGCAAAAACCAAGGTAAAACTAATTTCAAATGCACAAAATGCAAGAAACTTTCAGAATAATACCATTAATCGAATAAAAAGTTACACGATTCGACAGAATATGTATGATTTTTTTCTTTTAATGTCAAATATGATCGTTATTGCTCTTTTCTAGGAAATTTTGCTACTGGTCAATACTGAATTCAAGTACCAAACATATCTTTATATTGCCAGTCATCACAAGTATAACTATGACCATCGGTATACTAGTAGTTTGTTTTACCGAACCAAAACCACTAGGTATGTTCTTTTTGTTTTACAATCTTCGTATTCCCTATGATAAAAATATGCAATAAGATCCGATCTTTTTTCACGACTATTGTAAATTTTCGATAAAAATAAACTTAAATCTTAAGGGTATGTCATACAAAGATGCTTGAGCGAAGTCATCAGTCGAGGACAAAATTATAATCATTACTTCTGCTTCAGTTTTCAATATCAATGTAGCACTGGCGAACGAACCAGTAAATTTAATCATCATCAATAGATCTGATATGTTGCTTCTAACTGAGACTTTCTTAGACTAGAAAACGACGAGAAAAGTACGGTATCTTAAAAGAGGACATCACCAACTCTTCTCCTTTGTTTGAGCGCATATTTAACTCTTGAGTAGAGTTCATACAGAAGAGCAAAGTTCTCAAATGACTTATACAATTGTAGTCTTGTTACAGATAAATAAGTACAACAAGATTCTCTAAAAAGAAGATTATTGTTTTTTCTTTTTTATAAAAAAAAAACTCTTTTTCATCTCTCAATAAAAGAACATTGCTCACGGACTGATTTTTTGCAAACTCATCTCACACTATGTTACTTCTTATTGCAGAATAATGAAAACTTTGATATTCACTGTTTTTACAGATAAATGAGAGAAATTCTTTGAATTACCTCTTCGATTATGTTTTATAGTATTTTTTTAATACCTTTAAATGGAAATAGCAGCTTATCTAATATTTTTTTTCTCTATCTCATATATGCATATTTTTCGCATAATAGATCTGCGAAACAATGAATGAAAATACAAGTCATTTGCTCACGGGAAGGGACAGAAATAAACATTTGTGCTCTGCAGAACACATCTTGTTTATATGCTCTGACTATATGTTACCCGAGAATAAGAACAAGCAGATCACAATAAATAGAAATCTGTAGTAAGAAGACTATTATGTTTCACCATTATGCCTATATCATCTCTTTTTTTCTATGATTATTATGACGTCTTCATACCTTCATTCCGAACATATGTTCTTTCGTTCTGCTGTAATACTTGCACGCATATACGTCTTCTTCTGTACTATGTTCAGATACATTTGTCTTCTGTCTCTTTTTTTCTGTATTAATCACGTATATTTTCTCTCGTGTCTTCTAGTCAATTCTTTTCTTTTTCGATATTTGAAACAATAACACATTTTTATGAATGTGATAAGATAATGCCTCTTTCTCACCAATAATTGGTTAATGGTCGACTACCTTCACAAAATCAACCAATAGTTAGTCAATTTCTATTTAACCATCGTTTACGTGTCTCGACGATAAGAATGAGCAATCATTACAATCCTTTAGTAGTAGTATCAAACCTAATAGTATATGAATTATACTTCAATTCACCATCTTCAATCAGTTCAAATGATGAATCCATTGCATTAAACCTCTATAAATGTTTGGGTTCCATTTTGAAAAATAAATCGTGCATACGTATTTGAAGTGGAAACCAGATTGGTTCATAGTGACGATTTAAATAATCAAGATTTAGGAGATCTTCCACCATCAGAATCCATAGACGATCATTTGAGTGGGTTTGCCAGTGTGTGAACGTTTCTCTGCCCCTGACGCGCCCATATTCTGAAAAAAATAAGGTATCCTGCGGAACATAAAATAGTTTTGCGACTGCTACAAAACCTTAGAAAAAGTTTCCTAAATCCTTGAGAATCAGTTTAACACTATCTTGCGTTTGTACGAAACCTTTTTGATGGTTTCAAATTCGTTGTAAATATGGTTCCGTATGGTACCAATTTTTTCAGTGTACATACCCACATCTAAACCCTAGTTAATAATCTTCTGTTTTTATAGCAAAGTAAGAATATGTGCAATGAGTTTTGTAGTAAATTAAGTCATGTAAATGTTGTTTCATTGAAATAATAAAAAGACTTTTCAAAGAAATTTGTTATACTCGTTTTTTCTGGAAAAAAGATAATGGGGCAAATTCGTTTGGCGTTTTTCTCTGGTCTATGAGTCCAGCCATTAGCAAAATATGAGCTCCAACAGAGGACATCAGTTGGTGAGACTTCCTCGTCTAAGTATTTTTTGTTTTGAGTTATATTTTTTATAGTAATATCTTCCTATAGACCACGGTTCATTAATAGGTCGAATGACGATATTTTGATTTGATATTTAGCTCCCATATATCTCATAGTTATTAGAATATTCTAAATCTTTGAGTAAAAATGTACGCGTCTCTTTTAAGATAATGAATTCGTAAGGAAACTCGATTTCCTTCACGGTGCTTCAATACACCAATAATTATTGCGAATTGATCATCTAAAGAAGAACGCATGCATTTTTCGCGTAAACTTTCAAAATATTCAAAGAACTATACGTCTACAATAGCCTGCATTAGGTCACGAGCGAATTCGAGGACGAGAAATGAGAACGAAGGATTTATCTCGTCGTTTAGGAAAGCTGAGACTATCATACAACTGTGAAGATTATGCTATAATGATGCATTATATTAAAATAAAAGAGAGTCATAGGTCATAGTGAAATGCTGATTGTTATTTTTGCTATCAATTCTAAATATCCATGACGTAATGATAGGATTGTTGCAATAAAACAGTATTATGTTATAATTGTGATCGAAGACATATGATAAAAGAACCTGTAAGATAGAGATGGTAGTGGTTTCAACTATGTATTTAGGACCAATCCATGGTCCTTATCTAAATCATATTAGTAGCGGTGTCTGTTCTTTCTCAGTTACTATGTGTTTCTCGAACGAATTCTCTAGCAAACCAAAGAGAGTACATAACGAGAAATCTGCAAAATGAATTTCAATAGACTTGACGAGATTCTATTGCAAAGAATTGGTACCCTTTCAAATCTGATTTCAATAATTCGATAGTTCCCAGCAGAATTTCATCATACTTATAAGAGTTTGATACAATCCACTTGGGATAGTTTGACCAGAGTATCTGATCAATCTTTTTGTCTATGTTCTTTTGATACTTAGTTCCAAAATGTGAATTAAATTTCAAACCAAGAACCCCAAACCCAATCGAATATAAGTATGCTCCTCGATCTGTCGCCATTGGCGACTTCAACAACGATACTTGGCCAGATATTGCTGTTGCTAATTATGCTGCTGATAGTATAGATATCTATTTTGGAAATGGCAGTGAAACTGTGGCAAACTTAGCCAAGTATTCGATCAGTTGTGGCTCTGCTCCGTACATGATCACTGTTGGTGATTTCAATAACGATCATCGATTGGATATCGTTGTGGCGAATTTCGATACAAATAGCATCAGTGTACTTCTTCAAATCCAAGATGGGTCTTTTGAGAGTCAAACAACTTTATCAACAGCATCATCTCGTCCTGTTTGGATTCATGTAGGAGACCTCAACAATGACGCAACACTGGATATTGTCACCGTTAATTATGGCACACACAGTGTAAGTGTATTTTATGGATATGGAAATGGAAGCTTTTCAAGACCAACCCTGTATTATACGGGTTATGACTCGCTTCCATTTGCGGTTGTTAGTGGCGATTTTAATAACGACAAACAAATGGATCTTGCTGTCGCTAATTATGGCACAAACAACATCGGTATACTACTTGGGACTGGTAACAATACTTTTGCCAATCCAATCACATTTTCCACTGGTCCTAATTCACATCCATATTCGCTTGTTGTTGGTCATTTAAACGACGACGTCATGCTAGATATCGCCGTCACCAACTATGGAAATAACAGTGTGGGTGTACTTCTGGGTCACGGCAACGGAACTTTTATGCCACAAACAATATATTCACTCGGTGCTGCTTCTCCTTATTCTGTTAGCATCGGTGACTTCAACAAGGACAACCTAATGGATTTAGTCGTCACCAACAAAGGCATTGACAATATAGTTATACTTTTCGGTAATGGAAACGGCTCTTTTGCAAGTGTAGCATCGTATTCAACCGGATCTTCTTCTTCAATCTTCGTTGCTATAGGTGATTTAAACACAGACAATCATTTAGACATTGTCGTCGTCAACAATGACACAGACAGCATAGATATTCTGTTTGGTTCTGACGAAGTCTCTTTTGAAAATCAAAGGACATATTCAACTGGCCCTAATCCATTCTATGTAGCTGTTGGTGACTTGAATAATGATACCAGATTGGATATCATCATTGCTAATTGGCAAGGCAATAGTGTAAGTGTACTTCTCGGATATGGAGATGGCTCGTTTGCAGATCAAACTACATATGCAACTGGCTCTTCACCACTGTCTATAGCTGTTGGTGATTTCAACAACGATATCCAATTGGACATTGTTGTTGCCAATTCGGCTGACAACTCTGTTAGCGTACTTCTCGGATATGGCAACGGCTCTTTTGCAAAACAAACAACACATTCAACTCGTACTTCTCCACGTTCTGTAGCTGTTGGTGATTTTAACAATGACACCCGATTGGATATTGTCGTTGCTAATGAGGATAATGACACTATAAGTGTGTTTTTTGGCTATGGCAATGGCTCTTTTTCAGAACAAATCACATATTCAACTGGCTATGTTCCACTCTGCGTAGCTGTTGGTGATTTTAATAACGATACTCGATTGGATATCGTCGTTGCTAATCAGTATGGCAATAGTGTAAGTGTACTTCTCGGATATGGCAACGGCTCTTTTTCAACACAAACGACATATTCAACTGGTTCTCAACCATTTTCCGTAGCACTTGGTGATTTTAACAATGACACCAGATTGGATATTGTCGTTGCTAATTCGTTTAGCCATACTGTGAGTATACTTCTCGGATATGGTAATGGTTCTTTCGTAGATCAAACGACATATTCAACTGGTTCTTCTCCACATTTTGTAGCTGTTGGCGATTTCAATAACGACACCCGATTGGATATCGTTGTTGCTAGTTGGAATGATCATAGTATTCGTATCTTTCTTGGATATGGCAATGGGTCTTTTGGACATCAAAGGACGTATTCAACTGGCTATTTACCAGAATGTGTAGCTGTTGGTGATTTTAACAACGACACGCGCTTGGATATCGTCGTTGCTAATTCAGCAACCGACGATGTTAGTATTCTACTTCGTTATGACAGAGGAGCTCTGGCAAACGAAATTACATTTGCATCTGCCGATGGTTCTCTTTTGCGAAGTATGACTGTTTTTGATTTCAATAACGATACCCTACTTGATGTTGTCATTGCGAATTATGGAACAAATAGCATAGGTCTCGTTCTTGGTAAAGGTAATGGTACTTTTGAAAATCAAATTCAGCTCTCAACAGGCTTTAATTCTCATCCTTTCTCGGTCGCCATTGGTGATTTTAATAAAGATGGTCAAGCGGATATTGCAGTGGCTAACCGTGGTACTAAAAATGTTGCATTATTTCTGGGAAACGGAAACGGAGCGTTTGTAGATCAAGGTGGTTATGGAAATGCTTTTGATTTTGCTCCATTATTCATTGCTGCTGGTGATTTCAATAATGACGGGCGTTCAGAAATTGTTGTCGCACATGAGGACATTGATAATGTACATGTACTTGTTGCATATGATACTGGCTTTTTTGTAAGACAAGCAACATATTCAGCTGGCGCTTCACCACAATCTGTAGCTGTTGGTGATTTTAACAACGACACCCGAATGGATATTGTCATTGCTAATTGGAATGGACACAGTATAAGTGTATTTATTGGATATGGTAATGGTTCTTTTGCAGATCAAACTACCTATTCAACTGGCTCTTATCCACACTCCGTAGCTGTTGGTGACTTTAACAACGATACGCGACTGGACATCGTCGTTGCTAATTGGCAAGACAATAGTATAAGTGTATTTATCGGATACGGCAATGGGTCTTTTGCAGATCAAAGGACTTACTTAGCTGGCTCTGCTCCACACTCGCTTGCTGTTGGTGACTTTAACAACGATACTCAGTTGGATATTGTTGTTTCTAATTCGAATGACAACACTCTTAGTATACTTCTTGGATATGGTAATGGGTCATTTGCACATCAAAGGATATATTCAACTGGCCTTACGCCACACTCTGTAGCTGTTGGTGACTTTAACAAGGACACTCGATTAGATATCGTCGTTACTAATTGGAAAGGCGACAGTGTAAGTATACTAATTGGACATGGCAATGGCTCTTTTGTAGATCAAACAAAATATTCAACTGGATTATATCCAAATTATGTAGCTGTTGGTGATTTTAACAATGATACTCGAGTGGATATCGTCGTTGCTAATCAATATGGCAATAATGTAAGTGTACTTCTCGGATATGGCAACGGCTCGTTTGCAAAACAAATGACATATTCAACTGGCATTCAGCCATTCTCCATAGCTTTGGGTGATCTTAACAATGATAACCGATTGGATATCGTTGTTTCTAATGTGGGTGACGACACTGTTAGTGTACTTCTAGGATATGGCACTGGTTCTTTTGCAAAAGAAACAACATATTCAACTGGCGCTGCACCACAATTTGTAGTTGTTGGTGACTTTAACAACGACACTCGATTAGATATTGTCGTTGCTAATTCGGATGTTGACACTATAAGTGTGTTTCTTGGACATCTCAATCTAGCTTTTGAACAACCAAGGACACTCATAACTGGCAATGGATCTCGACCGAAATCGTTTGCTATTGGAGATTTCAATAATGACAGTCAAATAGACATTGTAGTCGCGAATTCTGGCACTAACAGCGTAGGTATTTTTTTCGGACATGGTAATTTTTCTTTTACAAATGAAACGACATTTTTAACTGGCTCTACTCCAATGTCCGTTGCAGTTGGTGATTTCAACAAAGATACCATACTTGATATCGTGGTCACTAATCATGGCGACGATAATGTTGGAATATTTCTTGGATTTGGTAATGGCTCATTTTTGAAACAAAGAACGTTCACAACTGGTTCTAGTTCTCAACCTTATGCAGTCACTATTGGCGATTTCAACAACGACAATTTACTAGACATTATCGTTGCCAATTATGGCATAAATAATGTGGGCGTATTACTTGGCTATGGCAATGGGTCATTCGCAGATGTAAAGTTTTTTTCGACAGGTTATGGATCTCTTCCTTTCTCAGTTTCCATTGGTGATTTTAACAATGATGAAAAGTTGGATTTTGCAGCTGCCAACGAAGGTACTGACAATTTAAAAATTTTCTTACAGACTTGTTAATGTTGCACCTACTACTTTAAATTTTTATTTTGTTTCATTCACTGTTTGTAACTTCTGTTTAGTACTACTAATATGTCTGGTAACCTATTTTTCTATTCATTTTTTGATTTCTACATTCAAAAAAAAAAGAAAACTACAGATGATAGTGAGTATTTCAATCAAAGTATGACGTGTTTCGACTCTACTTAAGAATCTCATTACATAGTATTGACTAAGTATCCCTTCAAATGATTGAAATAATCAAAAGTATGATATACTAGGTCAAATATCCGGCATTGCCTAGAAAATTCAATAGTTGATCCTTGACATACTCAAAAATGGTACCCTTATTGTTTCCTATAAGTTACCGATCTTGGGTGTTGCAAAATGCGTTCAAATCTCTTTTCCTTTCCAACTTTTTTTTGTTTTTGATATTCTTAAATTTGGTGAACAATTTTTTTTTATTTTAAAAATATTTTGGAACGTTTGTGATGAACGCTTTCAATAATTTCTAAGTTAGCTCGAAGTGAAAAAAGGTTCTTTGAAAAATGATTTCATCGTTTTGTCACATTTTCGTTGAAAACTTGATCGAAAGAATATTACTCACTATGAAGGTATGTTAAAATTTCACTGGTCAAGAAATCGACCAATCAAATTTGAGCATACTTTTATACCCAAAAGTCTCTTGTGTCGAATGGTGAAAATCGCAGATCTTTATCACTTTTAGTTCTCGAGTTATTGAGGAAACAATCACACACGCTGACTATTTGGAAGAAACACTAACAATAGTGTTCCAACTATGAGGTTACTAACTCCTCCTCTCTTCCCTCCCCTAGAATAAAATGGTATGCCCTTCTACAATGTCTAAGCATATCGTCAGTTTTTCGGTGGTCTTTTATTGAGGATCAATCTTTTGCTAACTATTAATTAAAAAATATTAGTATTTTAAGATTTACGTAATATTGTAATTTAATATTTTTCGAGGTATTTTCGCTGAACAATGCGCTATTTTAGAAGAAATTCATTACTAATTAAAATGTGGAAGGAAATTTCGTGAAAAACCAGTAAAAACAAGTATTTTCCAAGGTTATTAATTAATAATTAGTAAAAAAATTAATATGTTTGAAAGAATAATGATTAATTATCATATACCCTTCCAATGGGGTATGAACGTCTTTCGGATATGATATTATACAGAGGGTGGTCTTCTAATATAGAGTGACCGTCTATGCTAAATAGGAGAGGGGGGAAGGTGTAACGGCACTGTGTGTTATTACCTGTATATTATGATCTGCTCATTTTCTATTTGTTTCTTTCGCGCTTTGTTCATTTTCTCTCTTGTTCAATTGTTTTTCGCGCTCGTCACTAACTCATTTTGTTGTCATTGTTCTTTTTATGATATAAAAAGGAGAGTTAGTTTTATTTATCGATATTGTTTTCTGGTATTGAGCTTGCCGTACATCGAGGCATCTTAGGGGGGTTAAATACTTCGGAGGTCAAAATTTTGGATCAAAACATAGCCGTTGACTTTCTCTTGAACGAAACGGATGGTCATATAAAATTTGGTTGCACTGGCTTCTACGGCGTCCAAATGCATAAAGAACAAACAAACAAACATTCTTCTTTATATATTAGATGAGCCAATGTCATTTTAATCAATCATGTTTTTATGATGCAAGTGTCTTAATCTGTGCAAGGATCAAATTCAGATGAAATCTGCATATCATGTATTTATAGATTCATCAAGCAAATAATGCAAATGCATGATGGTAATGTTATGATACATGTATTAGATTCACGTAAAGGGGAGTTGTGATAAATTTTGTGGAGAAAAAAATACATCACAAATTTTGAAATGAATATGTATAATTGTAATAGACAGAGATGGACTAAGACGACACGGTCTTGCTAGAGAACTTAATAATATTTTGTCTGATTGTATTAATACTTCTAGTCAATATTATAGGATCGCTCTAAACTCTCTACTCATTTCTTGTTTTTTATTGATACACTACATTTTCTTTCTAGACCTCTAGTACTATAAAGCCAGCTGGATATGCTCTTTGAGAATATAATGAGACAAGTTTCTTACTTCATACAGTTGTCAGAACAAAGAACTTTCAACGCAAAACATCCAAGTTTTGTTCATCAAAATTATAAGACTAATAAAAATATTTTTTTATTGAATTCCAGGCCAGTCAATGATCAAATATTACATAGATAAAGCTGGACGCACTTGGTATGGTTTCACCTGTTTTCAATATTTTCTTTTATAAACAATACTCGTCTAATTGGTGATCATGAGTCGCATCAAAGTATCTTTAAAGAAGAACACTGAAATTAAAAGTATTTTGAAGATGGAATTTAATTAGATTCGCATTGTCAAGAAACTCGCTATTTCAAAAGCGTTTGTTTCGGGTATAATACAAAAATTAGAATAATATTCGCGATTATTAAATATATCGAGTCAGAAGTACCAAAAAAAAAAAGAGTGAAAAACAATAGATAATCAACATTTTATTGATTCATATAAAAAAAATTCAATAGGAACTATCATCTAAACTAGTGTTTGCAAAAGATAAACAATTGAATGTTCGAACAATTCGTCATCGTCTTGTAGATATGGAGTACAAAAGTTCCCCGGCACAACGAAAGCATGTTGTCAAGGTATTCACGAAAGGCTTATAGTTGTTATATATCATAGTAATTGAAAAATCATCCGAACGAAGAATAGGCTTTCATACAAAATAATGTATCAAGGTACAAGTTGAAATATTCCATGGATTGGTTCAACGATAATAACATAAATCTGTGGAAATGACTAGATTCTTCTTTTGACCGTTACGTTATTGAAAATTTGTGGGACTATAATGATGTAAAAATAAGGCAAAATGAAGTGCAAAAATATCACCCAATTGTAGGTAACGATTAAAGATGTTTAGCGTGATGTGATATTTATGCATGGTTAGAAACTAGTTGATTGCATGTCACATCGTATTTAATATTGCATTAAATCTCGCCATAGAACATCTAAAAAAAATATTCATACCAATACTTGAATGGAACATTTAAAAATTTATGATGATTTGTCTCGATACTGGTTTGTTCTAATAACTATTTGAAATTATTAATTTTTTCTTATCATTTGTGAAACAACATATCTGACGCTATATAGTAGAATGAATTTCGAAAGAAAATATAATGTATCATACCAGATATTAGAATAAGAGACTAGTTTAAGATTATCTTACAAGTTTTACCATCACCGTATAAAATCGTATTAAAATAAAATTTCTCGTGTTGGACACTATTAAAATGTTTTCTACTATTCGTTTAAGTTTATTATAACTAACCTGTGTGATTCAAATTGGACAAATACCATCGGTAGACCGTTCAGTATATTATGCATTATACCAGTAGTAGTTTAATGCTTGAATGGTCGTCTAGTCGCTGATTGTCATTATATCGTGGTATACTGTTGGCAGTGCAAACAAACATGTAACATGGGCATATTCAGTTACAAATTTAATAATCAGTACAGGATAATAATAAAATACTTGCCAATAAATTCTTGATACCGACAATATGCTAGAATATCAATTGAGTTTACAAAATAACATAACAACTAACGAACACCTTATTTTTTAAACAATTCATTATATGAAAGTTTACAACATTCTTTTGTTTGCGATTTCGGACAATATTTTATACACTAAGATGCAATGAAAATGAGACGCATCAATTCATACTATGTTAATCAAAATAAACACTAAAAATAGACGACTGCTCATCTTTACTTGTTATCCGATTTCTTATCTTATTCTATGTATGAATAAACAAACACTATATACGTGTAAAGAACTCGAATATGTCATATGCATCTACAATTCTTATTATATTTCATAATTTTTAAAATCTATTCGAGTAAACGAAACGAATAGATTATATCTTATTGAAAGGCTTGGTTACGTAGGTTTATTGCGTACATTTAAACAAAAAAAAAAGCAGTACAACAAAAAAGTGTGTGTTACATAACAATTCGAAAAAACCTCTATGAACTTTTTTGTTTATTCAATTGATGTTTTATTTTTTCAAAATCAAAATGTTCGTTCAAATTCTTATTGAATTTTTTCATTGATTCTGCAAGCGCAACATAAGTTTCATCTAATGTATCCATTTCATAAAATAATTCAAAAGAAAATGATGATATATCATTTTTAATATCTCTATATTCAAAACCATCTTTAAATTGTTCCAAACCAGTTCGATTACTTTTATAATAAAGTAAAAAACGTTTAACAATACGTTCAATAACTATTTTATATGTTAAATTATCATTCGAAACATAACTACGTTTACGTTTAAAGATTTTTTCATTTTTAAAATCATGTAATTCTGTATCATTATTCCTAACATTGGTTTTATTAGGAAGACCAATATTAACATGTGTTAAATGTTCAGTTTTTTTTCCGACAGCATTTTTATTATTATCATTTCTTGAAACATTGTTGAAAGTAATCATTTGTTTTATTCTCTTTAGAAGATTAATAATGGATCTTGGAGATGGAAGAATATTTAATGGAATAGGTAGAATATTTTCTAAAAGTAGAATTACAAAAATCTCCTTTATTTTCTCTTGTAAAGAGAAAAGTCTTGATTCAAAAACGAAACTCAAATTAATCGTGCTTTCAATAAGTGAAATTTTGAATAGTCTAAATGGAAAAAAAGTAATTTGACAAAATGAATAATCATTTTTCAACCTTCTAAAAGAGACAACAGAAGTTAAAAAATAGTAGGTTAAAAACAATATCTTGTAATGTTTCTGAATATAGACTTGAAATATTCCTAAGAATTCTGGTTTAACAGTTATGAATCGATCTTGCAGAGGAGCAGAAATAAAGTTTAAAAATTGGCGTTTTTTGCCTCAATAGTCTCTTTTACTGTATATGTTATAGCCCTGATTGCTTCTGTATAGAATTAAAGTCGAGATTGTTTCCTGCAAAATGATATAAAAATCAAGA